ATATAAAGAACTTCAACCTTGATTGTTAAACACAGGGTTGGTGATGGGCTTATCGACACCGTCTACCACTACGCTGATGATGAAGTCGGTGGATGTGGTGCAACTGGAGATGGTGACACCATGATGCGCTTCCTCCCTTGGTAATTACCCAATCTCCTTGAGTAGTTTTATATTTTATTTCTATCTCAATGCATTCTAATGACCAAGACAGGTTTTTCTCAGTGTTTTGTGATAGTTACTAATGAATCTTGTCTTATTCTTGTGGCGCTAAAATTGAATATTGAGCATCTAAAAGTGAAAGGGTATGTTTTATCATGTGTTAAATAAAGCAAACTTCTTCTTCTTCTTCTTGGTTGAGGTTTAAGTTACCAAGTTGTGGAGAGCATGAGACAAGGAATGAAACCAGAAGAAGCTGCTAAAGACGCAATCTCGAGAATCGCAAGGAAGTTTCCAGATTTCGTGGGAGCCGTTGTGGCTGTTGACAAGAACGGGTCTCACTCAGGAGCTTGCCATGGCTGGACGTTTCAGTACTCAGTCCAGAACCCTGACATGGACGATGTTCAAGTCTTCACAGTGCTTCCATGAAACCAGTAAATTAACTACTACTAATCTTATTGAATTGTAGAATTAGTAGTCTATTTTGTTGGTATAAAATACACCACTACTTAATCTTATCGAGTGAGTTTCTTGAAACTATGGGTCATGGATCATAGGATTGAAGGTTTCTAAAAGTGATTGTAGTAACAACAAAGAAACGGCACGAAGTTCATGTCTGGAAATATGGAATGGCAAGCTCGTTTGGAAAATTTTGTTTTCGCTTTAATATATATATATATATAAAAGATTTTCTGATTTGTCTGAATCGATCAGACAAAGAGAGTAAGGAATTTTGTTTTTCTCTAAACAACAAAAACATATGAACATAGTTGACTTTCTGTAATTAGTGATTGAATATAACATTTTTTTGTGGAAACACGAGCACATAAAAATTAGAAGATTCCTCGGTATATCCTTGACGATTCTATATCTAGCTATTTAATTAACTTATGTTTTAATTATCATAAAGTTTAGTAAGAAAATTGTAAAAAAGAGAAGACGTGACATAAACGAGGAGAAAGTCATGCATCCAACTAAGTCCTAAGATTAGACATCTTATAATTTCAAGCTTGATCTTTAATATCTAAATCCACAAACTCAAATAAAATTAATAACCTGTATATCCATGAATTATGCACTCATATGCTAACAGTGAATCGATATTAAAATAATAGTGGATTGGGTTAACCAAACTAACTGTAGTTTCTTAAATTCATTATTTTGAGAAACCATGCTTTAATTTTTCTTTCGATGTAATCTAAAAGGTTCGATATATTGTGTTTTTTTTTTTTATAAACAATTCTCAAGCCTTTATTGAATATTTTATTCGTTTGACTTTCTATTTTTTTTTAGCAAAAACTGTAACCTGAGGGATATACCAACGTAGATCCTAAAGAAGTAAAACAGAGAAAGTCTGTATTATTTGTTTCAATGTATGAAGAAAATGAATTAAAATAAAAAAAAGGATTTAGTGAGCTGACTATAACAGTATATAAATGAGATTGTGGCGGCAACAACGTGCTTGCTTGTGTCCTAATTCTTCTCTCTCCGTCAATTATTTCGTCTTAAGAAAATGTCCTAAGATCACCAAACATAGGGTTCTTGTTTGTTCTCTGCTTGAACAGAACTACAAGGTAAGCTCTGTTCTGTCTGAAGCTCCATTTCTCTGTTATATTTACATCTTAATTCTTCTCAATTAGCCTGCAAAACTCTATCTCTGACTCTGAATTCTGCAAATTTTATATTTCAATCTTCTTTCAGGAGTTTGAAACTCTGTTTTTAAGTTTTAGATTAAACAATGGAAGAGAAAAAAGTAGTAAGAGCGTTAAGCGAGCACCTATCACTACCTCCTCCACCATCTCCTTCTGTAGCGGTAGCCATAAATGGGAAGAAGAAGAGCAAATACGTCGCTTTTTGGGCTCTTGAGAAGTTCATACCTGAAGGTTTCACTGATTTCAAATTGCTTTATGTTCGTCCTCCTGTCAGTTACATCCCTACCCCAAGTAAGTTGTGACTTAAATGTTTCATAATCTTATAATTTATGCAAAAGATCAATGTTTTGGGTACAAAGATCGAGTTTTTCTTATTTTGGGTATGGTTCGATTTCAGTGGGGAATACGATATCGGTATCAGAGCTTAGGGACGACGTAGTATCAGCTTACAAACAAGAAGTGGATTGGAGCACAAACGAGATGCTTCGTCCCTACAAGAAAATGTTTGAGAGGAGAAAGGTTCTGTCTCAAGAACTAAATCTTAAACTCTCGTGTTTTTTTTTTTTTTTTTCTGTTTTCCCAAATTCTGAAAAATGTACCATATTGAACCAAAAAAGGTGCAAGTAGAGGTTTTGGTTCTGGATTCAAACGAGCCTGCAGCTGCGATAGCGGAAGAGATTTCTGGAACTGGAGTCACAAAACTGGTAATAGGAATGTCTCTCCGCGGATTCTTTTCAAGAAAGATCGATATGTCTTCTATGATCGCAACAGCTGTTCCGAGATTCTGCACTGTCTATGTGATCTCGAAGGGGAAACTAGCTTCCGTGCGTCCTTCTGAGTCAGACGCTAGCGGAAGCATAAGATTCGAGAGAAGCAGTTCCACAAGTGGCTCCACTGATAGTCCAAGACTTCCTCCTGGTAAAATTTTTACATAAATTAAATTGAATTGAGTCTTTAAAATGTCAGTTTTCTGAATCCCAAAAACTTGAAAACAGAGTACCAAGACTTTCTCTCGTTTGTTTCGGAAGGACAATCCCGAGTCTCTCCTTTTTCCCCTGCTCCGAAAAATTCGTTGGGAAGCAGCGCAGTGGTTCAGATGGATACGAGTTCTAGCGGGACGGACCAAGAGGAAGTATCTACTGGGAGAGGGATGGAGATTGTCCATAGCGGTATTGAAGGAAAGAAGAATAAGGATGAGAGCTTTAGCGCCTCGTTCCCAATGGGAACGGAAGCTTACAACTCGATGAGCTGGACGTCTAAATGGAGAGATCACGAGGATAGGAGAGAGATCAGGAGCTCTTCTTCGAGCAACAACCACGATCTAGCCAATATGGACTGGGGTGCCGTGGTTCCTGAGAACTATTCTTGGGTTTCTCATTGTGCCTCTAACATGTCTGATGGACTCCTCAGTGTCCATTCCATTACCGATAATCAGGTATCATTCTTGATTATTTGTCATTGATGCTGTTTTGTCCAGAGAAAACAGAACGGCTTTGTTCATTTCTCTGTCTCTGGAGTCAAGAATTGAGAGTCAGAGTCAGACTCACCATATTGTTGTGCTGACTCAGAGTCATAATATTGTCTTCATCTTGATTCTGTCACAACCATATGTTTTGGTTCGAAACTGAAATTGGATTTATATGTGTAGGTGAATCTGAACTTTGAGATAGAGAAGCTGAGAGCGGAGCTGAAGCATGTTCAGGAGATGTATGCCATGGCTCAAACCGAGACTGTTGGTGCTTCACAAAAGGTTTCATACAAGTTCTTGAACCTCATAGACCGTGGCGTTTTTATTTTTGTTAACATTTATGTGTTCTTGCTTTTGTTTTTTGGTTGCAGCTGACTGAGCTAAACCAGAGGCGGTTCGAGGAATCCGAGAAGCTTGTGGAACTGAAGGAAAAAGAAGAAGTAGCAAAAGATACAGGCTCAAAGGAGAAGCAAAGGTACAACGAGGCGATGAAGGAAGCAGAGAAGGTTAAAGAACTCATGATGAGAGAGGCTTTACACAGAAGAGAAGCTGAGATCAAAGCAGAGCGCGACGCTAGAGAGAAAGATAAGCTCCAGGCTTCTCTCGTCTCTCCCGGGATCCAATACCAACATTATACCTGGGAGGAAATCACAGCCGCGACTTCTGACTTCGCGGAAAATCTCAAGATTGGAATCGGAGCCTATGGAACCGTCTACAAATGTAATCTTCATCACACGACTGGTGCTGTCAAGGTCCTTCACGCAGGAGAAACTCAGCTCTCTAAACAGTTTGATCAAGAGGTTGGAAAACCATACCAAAACTCGTATTATCCTCATATAAAGAGCGGTTTCGGATTAACTCTCTGATTAGTAATCAGAGTCTAAATGTTTTGTACTTCTGTTTTGACAGCTTGAGATCTTGAGCAAAATCCGACATCCTCACCTAGTCCTCCTCCTTGGGGCATGTCCCGAACGAGGCTGCCTTGTCTACGAGTACATGGACAACGGAAGCTTAGATGACCGGTTGATGCTAGTCAACAACACACCACCGATCCCTTGGTTCGATCGTTTCAGGATTGCATTAGAAGTCGCTTCAGCGCTTGTATTCCTCCACAAATCAAAACCTAGACCCATCATTCACCGTGATCTCAAACCAGGAAACATCTTGCTTGACCACAACTTCGTCAGCAAACTTGGAGACGTTGGTCTGTCAACAATGGTTAACCAAGACGATGATTCATCCAATCTAACCATCTTCAAGAAAACCAGTCCCGTGGGCACGCTCTGTTACATCGACCCTGAGTATCAGCGTACCGGGATTATCTCACCTAAATCAGATGTGTACTCCCTCGGAATTGTGATTCTGCAGCTATTAACAGCGAAACCCGCGATAGCGATTACTCATATGATGGAAGAAGCGATCGGAGACGATGCTGAATTTATGGCAATCTTGGATAAGAAAGCTGGGTCTTGGCCCATCAGTGAGACCCGTGAGTTAGCCGCTTTGGGATTGTGTTGCACGGAAATGAGACGCAGAGACAGACCGGATCTTAAAGATCAAATCATCCCGGCTTTGGAACGGCTCAAGAAAGTTGCCGACAAAGCTCAAAACTCGCTCTCGAGAACTCCATCTGGTCCTCCATCTCATTTCATTTGCCCACTCGTAAAGGTTCAAATAAGCCCTAAATCCATGATTAGTTACTTGTCATACAAGAAATCATTTTCCTTCTCGATTGTGACCTAATTTGTTTTGGAGCTGATCACAGGGAGTGATGAACGAGCCGTGCGTGGCTGCGGATGGGTATACGTACGATCGGGAAGCTATAGAGGAATGGCTGAGAGAGAATGATACTTCACCAGTGACGAACCTTCCATTGCCTAACAAGAACCTTCTTGCTAATTACACTCTTTACTCAGCAATCATGGAGTGGAAATCTAATAAACAGTAGAGAGAAACAGATTCCACAAAATCTTTTATTGGTGTGTTTGTCTCTGTGCCTCCTTTGTCTCTGTTCCGAGGATTTGTCTCTTGTGTGATGAGATGCAAAATTACAATAATACAACATTAGAGAAAAAGAGAGAGAGGAAAGTGTCTTTTGATTTAAGCTTATTGTGTTTTGGAAATATGTCTCGTGTTTCTTCTACTCTCTGATGGTAAAAATGTAAGGGGGTGTTATTCGTTAGTGGATATTAATAGAGTTTAACTCTAACTCAAATTTAATGTTATTGGTTCTCAGATTGTAAATACAGATTTCAAATCAAGTGTTATTGGTTCTCAGATTTCTAATGTCTATATTAAAAGAGTTTAAAATCAAGTGTTATTGGTTCTCATATTTCTAATCTATATTATTAATTGGGAATCACTCAAAACTAACAAACCTTATTTTGGTAGATTAATTACAATAAATGCCATTAGAATTATTGAATTTAAAACAAAAAAAAAGAAAAAGATTCGAAAAAAATATATTCAAAAAGTATATATATTTATTTCATTGGAGCATTAACAATATATATTCAAAAAGATTTTTCTGGCTTTTGTATCCAAAACTTAAACAAAGTAAATTTACTGTTATGATTTAATAAGATTTCCATATATAACAATTGACAATAATAAACTCAAAATAATAAAAATGAAAAATACATCTGTTTACGATTAAATCAAATCTTAAATTAGTTTATGAAATCATATCACGAACAGTTATTATACTTGCCAAATATAACTCTAATTATAGATTACTATTTTTATTTTTTTTAAATCAAGCATATAACTCGAATCTATATTTAATACTTTGATTCGCAAATATATTGTTAAGATTATAATAGTCTGTTAACCCTAAATATTGAAACTGAATTTTTGTATCCTATAAATATAGAAGTCGATTATTCAGTACTACTCACTAATTATACGTGTTTTCTAAAGGACTTCAATGAAACACATGGTGCTATTTCTTGAATCTTCTTCTCATTTAATAGCAATGTGTTGTTCATGTGTGAATCTGTTGGTTGTTTTATATAAAAACAATCGATTGTTTTGACTTAAATACAAAGATAAATCTAAACGTATACAAAAAAAATTCCTTTTGTTTTTCATTTTGACAGGTAAACACCTTTCATACTGCGATACGTTTTCTACATATTACGGATCTTGGCCATCTAATGCAAGGAATATTGAATTCATGTGGTTTGGATTTTATGTGTTTAGTTCTCGGTTTGTGTTGTATTATTGTATTGTTTTTTGTTCTAACATATACATAAATACGACATATAAACTAATTCACAGAAAAAGATTGAAACAAATCATTGATCTTACAAAGCTAGACAGAGTGAATGCATACTTCTTTCAACAAATTTGACACAAATACATGAGTAGACTATATTTCTAAAGAAAAAATTCACTGAAGTAGGAAAAGTTGTAGAAAAGTATCCATATCAAAGTAAGTGTTCTTTGAATAAATGTAACGGTAAAAAATGAATTAAGACGAGCAGGAAGAGAAATTGTCTAAGTTGTAGACAGGTAAATGAAGTTCTAACGCTTGCAGTAGAACTCGAACATGAATTTTTGATTCTCGAGTGTCCCTCATGGCTGCAAATCAACATTCCATATTTGTACTATCAAAAGTTATTTATGTCCTATTTAAATTTTAGGACGGATCGACGAATGAGCGGGATGGGATGAGATTCCTAAGAAATGTCGGGCCAGCTAGTAGCGGAGGAGGCCGGAGTTGGGTCTTTTTTTTTTCTGATTAATTATTTTGTCTTTTTTTTTTTTTTTTTGGACAAAAATTATTTTGTCTAAACAAAATTGAAACTAAACCGAATACCAAACTGATATGAGGTAGGATAATGAATGTTATACCAAATAAATACATCTACAAACATAATCCCGCACGAACGTGCGGGTCCGAATCTAGTATCTATATTAAAAGAGTTTGAAATCTAGTGTTATTGGTTATCATATTTACAATGATCAATTAAAGTTTCATGTTATTGGTTGTTTGACATATTTTCACAAATGTTTTGATTTGAAAAGATACTAGTTCCTGACCCGCACCGTCGTGCGGGTTGTAAGTTTTGGTAAATGGTTTTGCTTAAAGTTTGTAATGATATTTTTTGTGTTAGTGAAATATATAATAGAATATATATCATAATTCATAAACTTGTCATAATATTTGATAAATTTTTGTTTGTGTTTATAAATTAGTGTGTTGTGGAATATAATTCAAATATTAAAATTTTAAAGATTATGAAATTTAGTAACTTGTAAATTATATAATTGGTATTTAAATAGAAAATTTTATAATTTAATATATTGTAATGAAAATATGATTTTACAAAAAAACTGTTAATCTCTGGCCCATTAGTGTTGGAGAGTTATTTTGTATTGGGCCGAGTATGATGTTAATAATACATTTCTCCTTAACCCATTTAATGTTTCAGTTTATGTAAACCGACTGAACATAAAAAAAAAAAAAAACAATTTGGACAGTTTTTCATTTCAGAAGTCAGAACAGTCGTTGTCTCATCAAAAAAAAAAAAAAAACACCCACCGATCAAAATTTTCATACTCGATCGATCTAAGTCTAATTTACGAAATCTCATGTAATTCTCTATTTCTTCTCCGTTTTGTAAATTGTGAATTCTTTGAAGAGGTAAGCTTATTAGTGAATCTGATTTATACTTTAAACCATTTTTTATATGGCGATTGAAATCCAAATCTGAGTAATTTTTTGTTTGCGTAGTGTTCTTGGCGAAACAACATCAGGAAGCCGGATTTTCTATGGGTAATTATTGTCAATTGAATTTTCATTATTATGTTTTCACTATAAGATCTAGTTTTAACTGGTTTGATAGAATAGAAAAAAAAACTTTAATTACCAGTGCACCGAGCGTTTTTTTGTACGCCTTGCTAATCGTATCAATATATTGTATTTTTTGGAAAGAGTTAGAGTTAATTTAGTTTCCATATAGATTTCAATTTACAATTTTGTTTAATGATGTTCACATTAGATGAAGATAAACAAAGGCTACAAATTGATAAGATTTATACGAAACAATAGCTTATATCAAATCTGCAGAATCTTGTATTAAACTAAATTAAATGTTTTCAGGTAAAGCTTCACTTGGAGCAACATAAGAATATGGAGGCTATCAAATTTGTTCATTGGAGCAATGCCTCAAATCTATATGTGAAAGGTTAGTGAGATTATCTTTTATAGACTTTTGTTATTAGAATTTCATAATTACTTTCTGTTATTGAGTGTATTTGATGTTAGTTCATATAGAAAATTGTGTTTTCCCGTAGTATGTTTCAATAAAAGTACTTAATAAGATATGGAAAGTTATAAAAATGTTGGTATGCTTCTGCAAACGAAATTGTTAACTTCATATAGGTTTGTCTTTAAAAATAAAAAAACAAAAAAACTTCAACTTAGTAAAAAAATAACTTTAACTTAACAAAATTTAGCTGTTTGCAGTAAATTAATGTTTTCAAATAAAGCTTCAATTGGGTAACAACAGAATATGGAGGAGTCTATATTCATTAGAGCAAAGCCTCAAAACTATATGTCAAAAGCGTAGATCTATTGAGTTTTATAGACTTAGTTAATACATCTTCATATTTACCTTATGTGATTGAGTGTACTTGATGTTAGTTCATATAAATAACAGT